GAAGTGATGTCTCAGGAGGGGGTGAAAAAGAGGTAGAAGAAACAGCATGGAGGCACAGGACAGCAGGTAGGATGGGGCTGCCAGGGTCCAGCACCATCTGCGAAGTACGACGCAGGGAATACGGGCACACGAGTGGGCACGAGTGCCAAGTCCTCCACCCGGTTGCATACAGAAAGTGCTCAATAAACGTGTGATGGGTGGATGGGTGGAAGGAGGGAGGAGGGAGAGGTTTGGACTGGGATTAGCTGTGTGTTCTACTCCTCTTTAGATCCCACTTTCCCTGTTATAAAATGAGAGAGTTGAACCACGTGGCCTTCAAGATTCCTTCCAGCTATGACCTTCGGGGACCCAATTTCAGAGTTCTCCCTTTCGCCTGTACGTGGGTGGTACAGCTGACTTCAAAGCCGATATCCACTCTGGGTTCTCTTGTGGAATGAGGTCAAATTCCAGCCTTCCTTGTGGGGGGAGGGGGGGTGGGCATTTACATTGCAGTGTATGCAAATGGTGCCTCCTAGGGTTGTGCAGTGTGGTGGCAATTTGAGACAGTGTTACTGCTCTTCTGCCTCAGGCTGCTTTGTACACTGTGTGTGTGTGTGTGTGTGTGTGCGCGCGCGCGCGCACGTGTGCGTGTGGTGTGTGTGTGTGCGTGTGTGTGTGTGGTAAGTATGGCCGGGCAGTGAAGAGGGATTACAAGACTTAATTGTGCTATCTGTCAGAGTGGGGAGCAGAGAGCTGGTTCTGAGCAGCTCAGGTTGCTGGGGTCAGAAGGCAAGATGGGCAGAGGCTTCAGAGCCAGGATTACTTTGCTGCAGTAGAACTTGGTCTGTGTTTCCTGCTCTGAACAGCTCTCTCTGCTTGCTGGAAGACTCGTTGATGGGGGAAGTGGGGGAGGACCAAGGAGATGTCTCTTCCTGGGCAGTGAAAGGAGGAGGACCGGGCCCTGGTGACATTTCCCCTGCTATGGACTAGCTTTGCCCATCGTCCATAAGGCTACCCTAGGGCCCTGGAATTGTGGGTGATCTCTGGGCAGATTTAGCAAAAGCCTTCTCTACTGGTGGGTTGTTCCAGAAGAGCTGAGGGCTAGAGACAAGAGGCATTCATCAAGATTCCAGTACATCCTGCTCAGAGGAGTCTGCCCCACCCACTCCTCCCTTCCCCTCAGCATCTCACCTTGGTAACTGCATGGGGTCTGCAGCTTGGGGCTGCCTGTCCCCCTCCTGGGCACTTCAGGGGTGCCTTCTCTTTAGCTTTTGTTCAGCCCCAACTGCGGCAACAGCTGTGACTTGCCCCCTCTCTGGTCCCCCGAGTTCCCCAGATCAGTGCGGGGCTGGATATGTTACAGCCACCAGAAGCACTTAAAACACAGATTCCTGACTACTCAGTCCTATCTCCGCAAACCCCAGTGCGGTAGGTCTGGGACCAGGAGTCTGTAGTTTTCAAAACTTACCTATGCTAAAATGATAGTGGGAAGTTATTACTGATTTTCTTGAGTGTCGCAATGCTATTGTGGATACAGATGAAAATGCCTTTATTTTTAGGAGATGCAGACAGAAGGATTCAAAGGTAACATGTCATGAAGTATGCAACTGCTGACAAATTGTCCAGGGAAATCAGTGTGTGTGTGTGTGTGTGTGTGTGTGTGTGTGTGTGAGAGAGAGAGAGAGAGAGAGAGAGAGAGAGAGAGAGATGAAAGTTTGTAAAACAAATATAATGAAGTGTTAACAGCTGTTGAATTGTGGTGTATATTGAGGTGGTGCATATATTTGTTGTTCACTGTATTATTATTTCACTTTTCAGAAAATTTAGTTATTTTCACAGCTAAAAGTTAGAGGGAAAGGGAACACCTTGGCTCAGTTGAGCAACGGACTCTTGATTTGGGCTCAGGGCATGATCTCACTATGGTGATATCGAGCACTGTGCTGAGTGTGGAGCCTGCTTGGGATTCTCTCCCTCCCTTTCCCTCTGCCCCTCCCCTGCTCTCTCTAGCACCTACTCTCTCTCTCGAAATAAATAAATCAACTTAAAAAAATAGTCAAGAAAAAGTGGCGACTCCACTGTCCCCCTAGGTTGAGGACGGCAGTGGCCGACTTCACTGAGTTCCGTCTTCTAACAGACCCACAGCACAAGTCTGAGCAAACAGTGAATAAGCCCTTGCCAACCTGGGCATCCTTCTCCCTCCTTCTCTTGATTTTCGGGATGCTTGGCAAATCATTTCTGATTCATGCGTGAGTCTCGTCCCTCTCTCCTGCCAAAAATCCCCTCTCTAGCCACCCCCGTCTTGGCAAAGGTCCTTGATGGAAGGCCAAGGCTCTGATGACCAGCGCCACCCCCGAGATCCTCCTGCATGCGCAGAGCCCCACACTGGCCTGGGCAGGGAGAGCTCAGGGACTTCCTGTCCCGGCCAGGCCTGGCTCCTCTCCGTCTACAGTGAGAGTGTGGGCAGCTGTCATTGCCCGAGGTCAAGCCTCCCAGCCAAGGCCCACGGAACTAAACTCAGCCCGAGTTGGCTAAAGGGAAAGCTTGCTTGAATGGACAGCCTACTAACTGCCCCTCACTTCCTGGGGCCCAATTAGCCCAGACCAATTAGCAGGCCAGCTAGGGTCCTGGGGCTACAGAGCTGGTGGCCCGGAGCCCCTGGCAGCCTGCGTCACCGCCTGCACCCTCCCCGGGGGGGGGGGGGGGGGGGGGGGGGGGGAGAGGCAGGACTGAGCAGAGTGTCAGCTCCAGACAGGCTGTCTCTGTTCCTCCAGCCGTGTAATCGTTGTCAAAGGGCAGGCACAGACACTCCAGAGGCGGGTAGGAGTTTGGGCTACGGCATGACTTTATTTTTCCAACACAGCACTTAAGCTACAGTGCAGACTCGATGGGGAGCTGACTCCAGTATGTGTACCCATCCACTCTCTGGGGCCCAGAAGCCCCTTCTCCTCTGTCTACAGTACACAGTGGGGTTGGGTGACCTGTTCACTGCCAGGGGGAAACGAAGAAGCTGGATGAGGAGGCCCAGGAAAGTTCTAGGGTCACTCCACAAGTGCTCCAGAATCCCGCTTTCCTGCCAAGTTGTCCCGGATCTAGAAGTAGGGCGGGGATCCCTGGGGGGTGGGCCAGGACGCGGAGCCCAGGGAAAGGACTGATATTCCCTGCGGGTCCCAGTGTATGAAACCGTCCTCCGTTCTACCCCACGGTGACTTCCCCTACCCCACCCCCTGCCTGCGAGGTGCTGGGCTGATTTCCCAGGGGCCTCAGTCCCAGCTTGTCAGCTGCAGCTGGCCCAGAACAACTCTTTCCGGGTCCCCCCAGCGCGCAGCCCTGCCACCCGCCAGCTCTCAGCTCCCGCACTCACGATCCCAGCACTTCCATGAAGATGAAGGTTTTCCGGATGTTGGTGGTCTGTTTCTTCCAGGAGCTGGAGTCTTCTTCCTTTCGACCCATCGCCTCCAGAGTTGAAGCTTTCGGGGATGCTTTGAGGAAGGGGAGGAAGAGTCTGATCAGCTAAAATTTCTTAGACAGGATGAGAACAAGTTGCAAAAAGAATCGAAAACACCTCTGTCACATAATAGCTGGAAAGAAGGACAAGGAGCAAATCCTGGATAATTGGCAAAAACAAGACCATTCTCTCCGCTTGCTTTTTAAAATGGCTCCAAAAAATACGTTGCACGTCTGCTGCATGCCCATTGTACTTCCTACCGCCCAAGGAGTGGAGGGTCTCGGAGTGCAAAGTCCATTTTGTACATATGTGTTTAAGGGCAAAAACACACACACGTATGGATTCACACGTGAATATCCACCCTGGGGGGAATCTGAGCTGTGCGGAGGGGTTTCCTGCGTTTCCTGGTGATGGCCAAGGTGTTTATTCAAACCACAGGGTCAGCCCGACTTCCCTTCTGTTGTCACACATTGTATCAGGTAGGCCACGTCTCCAAGTCATTCCGACCCCCACCTCTCTCCTACCTGTTCTGGGCTAAATGAATGTTGGATGAAGGAACACTGTTTCCTCCCAAACACCCACAACATTGGTACTGTGCTGGGAAAGTCGTTATTCATTAAAATCTGAACTAAATCTTGTCCTAACCTTGTATCGGGGTTCCAGAGTTACCACCTTCATTCACCTGAGGCAGCACCTATGATGTGCCAGGTGCTGGCTCCATACAGATGGTGGCTCTGTCCTCTGGGGACTCGCAGGCTAGAGGAGGCATATGATGAGCAGGGAGGGTACCACGTACGCGATGACAAAGTGTGGGAAAGCCATGAAAGAATAAAACCTAGGCTTGCAAGAGGGACAAACAGGGACAGTCATCTTTAGATAAAGTCAGGGGAAGGTCTACGTAGCAGGTCATATGTAAGCTGAGATCAGAAATTTGTGAAGGAGCCTGCCAAGCACAGGGTGTGTACGAAGGAGCATTTTGGCAGAAGATATCAAATACAGGAGCCCCAGATGGGGGCCAGGCAGGAACCACCTGAAGGGATGGAAGGGACAGGGTGTCTGGAGCAGGGGGAACTCTGCATGACATGGGGTCGATGAGTGGGCAAGGGGAGGCGGGCAGGGGACAGACCATGTGTAAAGCCTTATAGATCCTGCTAAAGATACTGGGCTTTTCTTCTAAGGGAGACCACAAGACACTGGAGGATTTTTAGCAGGGAGTTAAGTTGCACGTTGACTTTAGAGCTCACTCTGGCTGCTCTGTCGAGAATGGGGTGGAGGGAGTAAGAGTCAATATATGGAAAATGGTGGGGGACAGAATCCCAGGACAGAAATGACGGTGGCTTGGATCACAGTGGAAATGAGGGAGAGAGAAGGGGTGGACTTGGGATACATTCTGGGTTTCCGATTATGTGCGATACCAGGTGATGTGACTACAGAGCAGGGAGAGTCTAGGCTGGCTGCCATGTTTCTGGTAGGGGTATCGGGGTGACGGTGCCCCTAGTGAGGCAGTGAATACTAGAGAGAAGCATGTTCTTGGGGTGGCTGGGTTGGGGGGGATCTCCGTGCCTTTGGGCGCTCTGCCCTCGTTGCTCTACTACAGACAGATATTTGTGTCTGGAGCGGTGGGTGAACCCCATTTCTGCCAACACCCTTTCCCCCATACTCCTTGGGCCTAAGGAGTAGGAAAATATGTCTAATGGTCGCATCTCTTAGGCAACACCCCTCCTTCCCCATTGAAACAAATGCCTGTAGACTCTATGGGGTCTTCTATTAGCCTCAGGACAAAGGGAAAGTTGGTGCCTCCCTAAATGAACATCAGGTAAAGAACAGAGGTTTGGAGGTCAACCTGAGTTCGGATTCTACTGCTGCCAGTTACTACTTAAATGGCCTTAGGCAAGCTACTAACCTCTTTGAGTTTATTAACTCATCTGTAAAATGGGACAAAGCCCATTACGGTTACGGTGAAGGTTAAATGGAATTGTGTACACAGAGACTTAGCACATTGTCTCACATACACTAAACAGTTGGAATAGAGATAGTATTTGGGGGATGCTAAATCGATGTCTCTTCATTCCTGGTAATCCCCATCTGGAGGAGGACTCGTGTCCTAAAATAGGTTCTATAGTATAGAGAGGAACCACTTCTGCCATTCAGACACAAGTGTGAGACTTAAGCCCCTGTGGATATGAAGAATGTGACATAAGAGAAGGCCCCGCTAGAGAGGAAGAGGTGTGGAAATGACTGACAGTTTTGGCTCAAGTGGATCCAGGGAAGGAGAGCGGGGGAGATGGGTGTAGTTGCCCGAAGCACACATCTCTGCGTTCACCTTCCTGGAGTTGAAACCCATCCGGGCCTGGGAGAGATAGGTGACACAGATAGGTGGGCTTCCCAGGCCCCTGCTGGTGGGGAGCTATAAGTGTAGGAGGAGCTTCCAGTGCAAGCACATTTAACAGAGCTGGAAGTAATCATGGGGCAGGCCTACAGGGAGAAGGTGAGTGAGACAGGGTGGCATGACCCGCTGGGACTCCAGAAGTCTCCCCGGGCCTGTGGGGGGCTGGGGCCAGCTTGTTCCAGATCATGACGGCCGACTGCGGGTGTCTCCCTAGCCCTGTGTTTGGTGACGTCGTGTTGTTAGCTTGAAATTAGCCACAGTGGGAGTGCTTACACCTGGACACAGGCAAATGCTACAATCAGGGCTTCTCCCCCACTCATCCCCTACCTTCTAGAACCAGTTCTTCAACAGACATGTCATCTCACTTCTGCCCCTGGCCCTGGTGAAGGGACACAGAGCTGCTAGAGGGCCTGTCACCTGGGGTCCAGAAGAAGAGACAGGCTTAACCAGGGCTTCTCAGGTGGAAGCAAATGGCTGGGAGCTGGGCCTTTAGTAGAGGGTGTCAGCACGGTGCCCGGTGGGCCAGATGGGACCAGTCACACTAAAGAGGTCAACAGTCATCTTCTGGTGAGATCCCAGAGAACTAGGATCTGAGGTCCCTGATGAGTCTGAGGCCCCCTTCTCCTATCTACAAGCAAGATCAAGTAAGCACCTTATAACACAAAATGCCCCCTTGAACCAGAGTAAGAGGCGGCGAGGCCATCTCAAGGCTGCTCAAGGCTGTGTGTTTTCCTGGAAGAAACTGAGTTAGCTAAATGAGACTCCGTTGAACCTGAGATGCTATAATGAACACATTCAAATTTAAAGTTCCCCATTTCCCGCTTTTGCTGCCTGGTGAGAGTGGGGGTTCATGAGAAGGATTTTACGGGAAATAAAGATGCTACATTTTCTTCGCACATTTCAGTATTGTGTGTAAATTTGCAACCTGGCTGTATACTAGGTGGTGGCTGTTATTATGAGAATGCGTGTGAGAAGTGTTATGAAATCCTTAGCATTTGGAAATTCCAGTGTGGATCTGGTGGTTTGTCCTTGTATCTTCAGGACCATTTGTGGACTTGCTCCTCTTGGGAGGGGGGCAGCCCTGAGGGACCACAGCAGTTCAGGGCCCCAGGCACTAGCCGTGGGGGGGGCTCACCAGCCATGCAGTGGTGGCCTGACCCTTGATTTGGAGGGCACGGTCCACAACGCAGGGAGATAAATGAACCCTGACTGGCAAACTGCTTTAGGGAAGATGAAATATTAGAATAGAGGGCTATCTTTAGCCAGATACCATTCTGCAGATTCTTAGCCCCAAATCTGGCGGCTTCCACTTATCAGACTGGGTGGCATCTGGGCTCGGACCAAGTGCTTCTTATTGTATACACTGCAGCTGGGAAGTCTTGAAGAATGTAAGGGGTGAGGGAAAAGGGGTGGACGTTAAAAGGAGCCATATCAAGAGGGTCAGTCTGTTTGTCTCCCTCTCTGTCTTTCTCCCCTCCACAGACCCGCAGGGCTGGGGGCGGGGTGCTGCTTTTCCAGGTAAGGAGCCAATCAAGAATCTTCTTTCCAGCTCGGGGACCATTGGCTGGGCGTTCATGACTCCCCCTGCTGGAGCCCCGTGGAATGACGGCCAGCCCTCAGGGAGGCTCCCCCAACCACCTCACTAGCAGATCTGTACTCCCTGTTCCCTCTCTCCCATCTCTCTTAAATAGCTTAAAAACATAGTATTCTTAGCTAAGCCAGGCTATAAGAAAACATCTTTCCCGCCCACCCCTCCTCCCATACACTCAATCCCAACAATTTAGTTCCATCTTCAGAGCAACGTGGAAAACTCGGGGGGCCCGGATCTGAAACCCCCGGTCGTTCCCGCCCTTCCCGGACCTCAGAGAAGTCCCCAGGCCCCGTGCCCCGCGCGGTGAAGGTCTAACCTTGGGCTCCTAGAGGGGCAGCCCACATTGTTTCCGCGTCCTGCTTCTTTCCGTTGAAGTCCTCCCCCTTCTCCCCTGACTCCTGTAATCTAGGTTCTTTCAGAGGAAAAGAAAACACATACTGAGAAGGTTGAAGCCCCAATATTGCTGTTATTTGTTCCCAAAGCACTTGCACCTCTCTCTTTTGGGCCAAGACTTCCACTGGGCTTCAAAGCTCAGGAACAGCCACTGCAGGGTTACAGCTGATTTCCCACGTGTAGCTGGGGGTCGCGGTCGGGGTTGGCATCCATGACCCCCGCTCCCTCAACAGGGCAAGACCCTCAGGGATATTTTGCAAAAATGACTCCAGGCGAAGGAAAACAACCTTACTCATGGGGCCATCTTTGAATTGTGAGGGTAACACTTCTTCAATCAACAAGCGTTTATTGAGTACCTCCTGTGTACCTAGGGCACTAAACACGGACATTTCTATGACAGTGAAGCTACCTTTAAAAGTTCTTCCGATCAAGGTGGAAAGACCAAGCCTAGGTATGTACATAAGCAACTAAAAACACGGACCAGTCCAGGGGAGAGGCAAACGAATGCACACACTGCTCATTGCTCGGAGCCAGAGCGGTTCAGAGGTCAGTTGCAGATTGACGGCGGACGTGTGAAAGTCCCTCACCAGGCTGTGAGTGCTTCCAGGGCAGGGGACGTTTGTTCCTCAACTGGAATCCCTAGTGCCTAGTACTGAGCCTGGCATACACCAAGGTCCAGCATGCACTTGATACGCGATTTAGTGAAGAGGAGAGCCCAGGTGGGTTGATCAGGGAGCTGGACTTAAAATGGCTTAGTGCAAGGTGGGAAGACAGATTCCTTACCTTGCTCTAGAAACAGACCTTCAGCAAGAAGACCTGTACTTGGGGAAGAAAAGGCAGTAGGGCCTCCTCTCTAAAGTTCTCTCAGCGAGGCTCCATTTAGGACATTGCAGCAAGACCTATGACAATCTGAAACTCTCCTCTTCCTTTGTGTGAGGTCATATCCTCACTAGAAAGTAACTCCATGTGGACCAGACCTTGCCCATCTCCTTGTCTCCCCTGGGCCTAGTGCAGTGCCTGGCTCCTAGGTCGTGCTCACTCGTAGTTTTTTCAGATGGTCTTCCTGGTCTGTTGGGGGACACAGCTGGGGAGGAGCTTGCAGAGGGAACAGTTCTTCCTAAAGGGTAGCCCTGGGCTGGATGCCGCCTCTGAATGCAGCCCTTTCTGGTGCTTCTGGGGACAGGCTATGTGATCCGTGGTGGCATCCAGCCTGGCTGTTTATGAGGTGCTGGTGAGAGATGCTCGGGCTGTGAGCCCAGGAGGCAGGTGCCCTTCTCATGCTTCCTTCATGGAGCATCGCTGCCCTTCTCTCCTTCCCATGCTCCATTTGGTCACAGGAACAACACTAGCACCAGACAGAACTCTAAGGCACATGAGGCTTATTTTCAATGACCTCCTCATTGCCATCACCAGTCCCCAAAGATGCCAGGCATTCAATTCAATTCAATTCAATTCAATTCAATTCAACTCCATGTGTTTCCCAAAGCCACAGTAGGGTTCCTAAAGTGGACAGGAGCAACCTAGAGGAGATGGGGACAGGGAAGGAGGGGATCTTGGAGCAGCACGTCTGCAGCCTTCAACCCACAGATAATGGCTCTCAACTCTACCTAGGGGAAGAGTCACTGTACCTTTGCTTATGCTCTCACTTGGGGCTTCTGAGCAAGCAGGTATAAGTCACTCTGGGGCATGGTGAGGCATGTGTGGCTCTTTTACTGACCTCAGTGGAACCAGGCCACCCTAAGACTGCTTTTCATTTCCATTTCCATTTCCATCTGCATACAGGGCTTTCCATTTCTTGGGAGCATGACTCAGAAAGGCCTGTGGGTCTTGGGAGGGAGGTTATCAGTTGGATCATCTTTAATAAGAGTGTGCTCTCTGCCTCCAGGCTGGGGCACATGGAGCCATGGCAATGTATAAATTGTGTGGTTATAAGGGGCTGAAAGGCTAAAGCTGGGTTGTTTTCTTGCCCTGATTCCCCCCCCCCCCCCCCCCCCCCCCCCATCTCCTGGGCTCTGGCCCATATTGGACTTTGCGTCATCCTTTGGATTGAGAGGGACATTAGAAAGAGCTCAAGTTCTGGTTCCAGTTTTGATTTGGTACGGAGAAGCTGTGCAGCCCCAGGGAAGTCACTGTACATCTCTGGGCTTCCACATTTCTCTTTAGTGAAAAGAGATTGGAACAGACAAAGGTTTCCTGAAGTTTGTTTTTTAAAATACTAGTCCCAGAATATTCTTTGTGTGCAAAGCGGGTTTGCTGCCCTTTCTTTAAAGATTCACGACCCATATTAGCTTATGAAAGGCTCTGAGGACTATTACACACCCTCGGTTAATGCTATTTAACCTGTCATGCCCCAAACTTACGAGATTGTGAAACTTTCTTTTTGTGACATCTGCTAGCATCCAGGGACTCTAGGGTTGCCCAAGCTTACTTTGGAAAACAGGGTGACTGGCTATTTCTGATACTCTGTGATTCTCCATTTGTTTTAGCCATAAGAAATTTCCAGCAGTCTGCTGCCTTCAGCCATACCACTTCATGATGTCACAGGCATATAGCTGGGCCTGGGTGGCTGTCAGGCCCAGTTCATGGGCTGCAGCTCAAGTGGCTGGTCAGTTTTCCAGAGCCCAAGCCCCAAACCTGCAAGCCTCCTGGAGACTTCTGGCAGAACAGAACCTCTGAGGAGTATGGACTCCATCCCCAGTGCTCCCACTAGGCCTGCGTCTCACGGGCCAACTCTGCGTGCCAGTTTCTGTTCACAAAATCACGGAGGAAGGATGTTTTTCAATTGCCTCCTGCAGTTTATTTCAGGCTCAAACCCACATTTACGTTTAACCAAGTCCGTCCTGCTGCAGTGACAAGCCAGAATCCACATGTTGCCTAAGGTTTACCGTGTGCCTCTTATAAAATAAATGAAGAACACGCTCCAAGGCTTCACTTAGTGGCTGAGAGGTCAACACATGGAGTCACTGGAGAGAGTAGGGGGTGCTCCTGATTCCCGATGTGCTCCTAAGCACAGGGGGCCTCAGTTTCCTCATCTGCTGCACAGGAATAATGATCCCTGCTCTAGTTCTCAGCACTCCCGTGGCGTCAGTGGGCACAACAGAATCATTCTGCAGCCTCGACGATGCCATGCAGCGGGTCCACATTATAGGCACATGAATTAAACACCATGCACCGGCCGGGAAAGAGAGGAAAACAAAAGCACTTTAAATAGAGGCGAACACGCAGGAGGAGACGTGAATCCACTGCTCCCTAACTGGTCTCAGCTCCCAAGTGCATCTCACCGTGTGGACATCTCATCTCACGGTGATTTTAAAGTGTTTGAAAGTATCTAATTTTTCATACAGCACGGTCTTGAAATGCAAACCCACTACTTCATCTGGTACCGAACCAGCAGAAGAGAGCTCTGAGGCCACACTGGGAAGCTGCCTGGGAAGGGTGTATGCTGGTCTCTCTGGGGCACCTTTCTAAGGAGTTTCCAGGGGGAATGGTGGTGACTGCATCGGCCATTACCCACCCTTAAAGCCAGACCCGTGCAAGAGGTGTCCTCTCAGGCAGGTGAGGGGCCCTTCCTGGCACCGCCAGGCACGGTCTGCCCCGGGAAGGGGTGCACGAGGCGAGCTGTGGCAGGATGCTCTGCGGGATTGTTCTGCCCTGGACTGGCTTGAATTGGCTGAGAAGTGCTCTGCGGGTTAAGGGGCGGGCAGGGCGGCACTTGCTGCCGGCCCCAGCCCTCAAGCCCCCAGCCCCCCCCCCCCCCCCCCCCCCCCCGCTGGTGACAGCGGGGGCGCGCCTGGTGGTCAGGCAAGCGGCCGCCTGTCCTATCCATGCCAGCTCACGCGACTAAGCATTATGGTAGGAGCTGCACCACGCGCTGAGTGGGCAAGCTATTCTAGGCTGCGCGTGTGTGAGCTCGAGAGGGATCGAGGCGGCGCCTCTGCCTGGGGAGCATTTCCTGTCCCAGCCCCTGCCCCCCAAGTACTCCTGGCCTCGCAGGGGTGCCCAAGCTGAGCTATTTCATTCCTGTGGCGCCTCACCTGCCCTCCTCCTGGCCCCACTGTCACCTTTAGGGAGTGAGGCCCACAGCTGCAGCTGATGGCTAGAAATGTTGAGCAGGATGCCCCAAATCAGATAGTATGTGACAGAGCTGGCCTGGGAGCCCCCGTCCATCAGAGAGCCACCACAAAACCTGTTGCCCTCCTGAGGACTGATTTCACTTATCACCCACCCTTGGGGTGCTTTCATGCAACCCCAGCACCCAGCTCCTGACTGAGCCCCCCGGGGAACAGGTGACTTGGATGATCTGAGAAAGGCACTGAGGCCGGGCCATCTACTGCCTCTCCTGCCTCCAACTCAAACCTCTTGTCGCTCGCACCTCAGGCTTCTTTCCCCAAGTTTTGCCCCGTCTCTCTCAGGAGTGCTCTTAATACACACGCACATCCACACCTGTCCCCCACCCCATACACCATAGCTATCTGTGGTATCATGGAGAGGTCACTGATGATGTCAGAAGTTCTGGGGTCAAACGCCACCGTCATTAACCAGATACCACCAATATCCAGCTTTGCAACCCCAGGCAAGCCTCTTTGAGTCTCATCCATACTAAGGGAGAACTATTACTTGCCCCACCAGCTCGATGGGCTTGCCCTAAAGCCAGTAGCTTAAAAGCACATTATAAACTGTAAAGCGCAGTTCCCATACCAGGTATTACTAAGCACTTTGTGTCATGGCCTATTGGAGCTCATCTTTGGCCCCGGGGTTAAGCGTGGGTCAAAAGAACTGCCCGGGGCTGGGCTGTTTCCGGCCTCTGATCTGGGAAAGATCATCTCCTTACCCAGGAGAACCCCGCTCGACTCTTTGACCCTCCTCCTCAGAGATTTTTCTCATGATCAGTTTATCTGGCTCCAGAGCAAGCCCCTGGCCAGCCATGCGCTACCGCCAGACCAGCGCGAGC